AAACATCTTCTGCAATGGCAACTGCAAGCTAGAGAACCAATTCTCAGCTTTAAGGACATACGACTTGGCGATCATCTAGTAAGAAAAGATTCCTTCCTTGGGCTGGTTTCGTACGAGCATCATTTTATCTGCGTCGATTTCAACGGTAAAGGCCAGCCGATGATTGTGCACTATTACAATTCAGCATGGAAAGCCACCGCTCAATTGATCCCAAGTATCTCAGCCTCTGGTTCCCCCGTTGAACAAATGGCAAAGGTTCAAGAGATGTGTATTGAAGAGTACGTAAGCGAAGCCAAGCTGCAAACAGAAGGAAACGAGGTGGCAAGAGTTGTGTGGCCAGAGGAACTGCTCCGGTTTCCTCCAGAAGAAAGGGCTAAAAGAGCCAGGGAAAGGGCTAGGAAAAAAGAAAAATGGTACGATTTAGTGGAGAATAACTGCGAGACCTTAATCATGTGGTGCTTTTGCGATTTACAAATCAGCCTTCAAGTGACCGCTGCTGTTTGTTATATTCGTGAGGTTATTGGCGGTGGATATAATTTTCTTAAACATTCACTTCAGCAACTTCCAAAAGCACTTGTTGAACAGTTTGGCGACGACATTATACTTCTTGCGTCGAAATTAAAGCCCGTTGCAGCAGCTCTTCCGAGAGGAATCGGTGTCTGGGTGGGCGTAGGAGTGTCCATTTTCGCAGAATGTTTCCTGGCTTATAGAGAAATTAAGTCAGCTAAACAAAAATGGAAGGAGGGAATTGTCATAAAGACCAGAAAGGAGTTTATCAAGGAAGTCATTGATAGTGTTTTGCAAGGTACTTTCCGCGCCGGCGGAAGTATTGGTGGAATGATAGGTGGCCAGTTGTTAATCCCTATTCCGGTCCTTGGTGGTGTAATTGGAGCTGTACTTGGTTATTTATCAAGCCATTTCGCCTCAAAACTGTTCACTAAATTTGGCCTCACAGAATTTCTTGCGAAACATATAGACAACTGGTTGCCTCCTGATAAACCTGCTGATAAACTCGATTAGAAGAGTACTTAACACCAATGACTGAGGGCCCCTTTCTCGAGGTACTTCATATATCTATCATCACCTCTAACTTAGGCGAGAAGCTAGCCAAGCGCAAAAGCGCGAAGGCGTTTTTAAGCGACACACGTCAACCAGTATTACACAGTATTGAATCCATCCAGCATCATGCTACTCGATTGATATGTGGATCTGAGAAATCTTACTCTGAAAGGCTCACTGAACTAAACTGGTCAACATTGGAGCTTAGAAGGAAATACCTTTGCTTGGTTCAACTTTACAAGATAATTCATGGCTATTGTGATATTGACTATACCACATATGTGGATCTTAATGGCCCGACAAGAACGAGGAGTAACCATGACTTTAAAATCAGGCCTAGAGCAGCAAGGACAAACTATTTTAAATTTTCATACCTTAATCGTTACGTTAATGGCTGGAACTCTTTACCAAACTCCGTTGTCTGCTTCCAGCTTGAACTCTTTTAGAATTTTATTACTTAATTATCTTTGTTAATAGCCATATTTTACTGACTTTGGATTTTCGTTTTTATTATTATTTAATATCCAAGTAGTTTAATTAGTCTTTTTTATGTAATGTATAGTTACATATTAGATATTCTATTCTTTATTGTTTTATCTTTTATTTTTGGAGAGCAGTTTTTATATTGGAATTCAGTTTCCCCCTATTGCTTTCCTTTACCAACTGTACTTTTATATATATACATATATATACATATATATATATATATATATATATATATATATATATATATATATATATATATATATATATATATATATATATATATATATATATATATATATATATATATATATATATATATATATATATATATATATATATATATATATATATATATATATATATATATATATTATATATATATTTATATATTTCCTTTTGTTGTCCATCGATAAAAAGTATCATTAAACTTAAACTTAAACTTAAACAGAGGTGTGGCCTTTTCCTTTATTATATACATACTAGGAAATACTCACCAAAAATCTATGTCGTAAATTTTCTTATAATATGACTTGACGCTACCAAGTCTGTATTGCTAAGTGTCTTTACTCTCATAGAGACGATTTGGCCGAAATGTGGGCTAAACCATGCTCATGCATGAAAAAGGTATACTTCTTGTTGACGTGTGTCGCTTAGAAACGTCTTTTCTTGAACTCCCTACTGTTTATAACGCACGAACTGGACACGTGCATTTGTCACCCTTGCGCTCTTCGTGTTCGTTTCCCTCGCTGGAGCGATTTTCGTATGACCTTGAAATCAAAACGCGCGAACAAAACAGAAACAAGAAACGGACGGAAAAAGAGCAATTTATTTGGTTTATCGAACGGATAAAGACGCGCGTTGCTTTTGGTTGGTTAAGGGAACGCTCGGGTAAAAAAACTTCATGCCCGAGAACTTTCTAGAAATCAATCGATACTCCGCTTTGACATCATACTGCAACACGATTGGCCAATCGAACAATGCCTTTTCCATATGAGGGGTTTTTTGGCGGGAAACGAAGAGTCTGCGTGTTTTGATTTTTTCATCCGTTAACTGATAAAACAAATAACAAACACTTACCGAAACCATTTTTCAAGCTCATGCGAAAATCGCTATATCTGTCGCGTTCCTTTCAGTTTGTGCTGGAACGCGACTTCCGATACTCGATTTGGCTCTTCGCCATTTCTGCTATAACTTTGCCTTTAGCCAACATGACGATCAAGGCGGATCGAGGTCGTCACTATCGTCAAGTTGTCCTTGCTAAATGTACCTTATAGTAAAGATGATGTGAGCAGTCTGAAAGCTCATCGTATGATATTGAAATAGCGTTCCCAAGAATAACACTTTTCTACATTTATCGGCTTGAAGTTATAATTTATGACACTGTAGTATGTACAGCGGTGGTTAGCTCAAAAGCTAAGCTCTTCTGACCCCCGTACACTTCTATCCAAACCATTAATTTTCTTTTTTCCTTCTTCTTCTTCTTTATTAGTGTATTCCTACCTTACTATATCATGATGTAAATATTTTATAATAGTGTGAATAAAATTGAATTGAATTGAACAGATGGAAACCTAGAAGGAGCTGCATGAACGCAAAGAATCATCGGTAAAAAGTTGAACAAAAAAACCACTAAATTTTGACCTCGTTTGTTGAGAATAATGTTTTAAAACTTGCACCACAACAGACAACGGGTTTGAATAGTCTGTTCCAAACATTCAGAAATGGACAGCGACGCAAAGAGGGTTAGAGAGAGAAAGAGGGCAAGTGCTTTTATGTACTTCTTTGTTATTTTTCGAAAGCTTACTCTACCCGCTTGGTTTTCGACCACCTGATATCCTGGAATAGTCTACCTTACGAAACCGTAGGTGGGTACTCCTGGGAATTGTTGGTGGGGATGTGCCGAGCGATTCTCCAAATCCTGACCCAATTTTAGACCAAAAAATGTCATTTTCCACACCCGTTTTCACACCGGAGGTGGTCGCAAAACGCAACATTACAAGTTTACACAAAACAGAAATTATGCCATCATTGCAACAAAAATATTTCTTAAAAGCCATTGGGAATTGGCATATTACACACTCTTTCTTATTCATCAGGAATTGAAACGACGAACACATTGATACACAATCGTAGTTCGCACGTACACGATACCGAATTCAAGATCAAAATGGGCAAAATCTATACCCGTTTTCAGACCAAAGTGACGCAAAAACCCTACCTTTTGGGGCGGCACATACCTATATGGCTTATATAAGGGAGTGAACCCCTCCCCCCCCCCACCACCACCCCCAGATGAAGCCTTGCTTCGTATTTCTGGCGTTTCTGGCGAATTGGAATCCGAACCACTCTTTATCAATCTTTAATTGCTACTAGTGTAAATAATTGAATAATGCTCCTAATAGTCCAGGAGCACCCAACGTCAGTTTTCGGAAAATATCTTTTCGGAAGACGATTTGAGATTCGTAACATTTGTTGTAAGATTTCTTGCTTGCCTGCCTCTCCTTGGATTTTCGAACATCTAAAAAATGGTATAATTGTCCATTTTTAACGGATTTTTACCCTAAAAATGTCACCTAGAATTTTCGGGAGCCTTTTTTCTGGCTGAAATTAGGTAAGTTTTGATCCCTATAATTTACAGATCACTTGACTTTCAGCTAGCCTATATCTACCGTTTAAATACTAAAATACGTTTAAAAATGCTATGTTTAAGTGGTTTTGAACTATATTCTCTTTGGGTGTCCCTGAATACTCGTCTCCCCCNCCGTTTTCAGACCAAAGTGACGCAAAAACCCTACCTTTTGGGGCGGCACATACCTATATGGCTTATATAAGGGAGTGAACCCCTCCCCCCCCCCCACCACCACCCCCAGATGAAGCCTTGCTTCGTATTTCTGGCGTTTCTGGCGAATTGGAATCCGAACCACTCTTTATCAATCTTTAATTGCTACTAGTGTAAATAATTGAATAATGCTCCTAATAGTCCAGGAGCACCCAACGTCAGTTTTCGGAAAATATCTTTTCGGAAGACGATTTGAGATTCGTAACATTTGTTGTAAGATTTCTTGCTTGCCTGCCTCTCCTTGGATTTTCGAACATCTAAAAAATGGTATAATTGTCCATTTTTAACGGATTTTTACCCTAAAAATGTCACCTAGAATTTTCGGGAGCCTTTTTTCTGGCTGAAATTAGGTAAGTTTTGATCCCTATAATTTACAGATCACTTGACTTTCAGCTAGCCTATATCTACCGTTTAAATACTAAAATACGTTTAAAAATGCTATGTTTAAGTGGTTTTGAACTATATTCTCTTTGGGTGTCCCTGAATACTCGTCTCCCCCTTGCTTTGCAAGAGACAACGGAAAAAGGCTCGTTTCTCCTAGGGAGTTCTGTCATATAGTCTTAAATTTTCCATTTGTAGTACTCTATATCAGACATCAGTACATCTTTGTAGACCTCTAATCGGACATGTGAGAGGCGAAAGCAAACCCGAACGCCCAAACATCCCTCAACAACTGTTCCAGCGACTCCCTGTTGCTCCAAGTAGTAGGTAAACCGGCTTTGACAGCAACTTCACACCGTGTGAACACTTTGCTAAAGGCAGAAGCGTGCTTAGTGGGGCGAGAATACTCTGTGACCTCGTTCACACTTACACTGAGTGATTTCCTAAACTCGCTTACAGTGCACGTGGAATCCTTGACTCGATATATCCGGGATTTCTTGTGGCGAATCATAGCTACTTCCTTCCAAATTTCCGGTTTCACTACGAATGGACTCCGGGTGGATTGCGGATGAGGTTGAGGCCGCAATGCATCCCGGTACTGCTCATAATTAGATCCCCGGATGTCATCTGGGCGCAACGAACGACGGGTCTGCAGTAAAAGTAAAATGGCCTATCATGAAAAATATCAGCAGAAGGGGAGAAGAAGGTTCAGGGGCTTTATGTCAAACTTCTGAGTCTACACGCTGATTAAGTTGGTTTTAACTTTATGGTCAATCTGTGGATGAAATGCGAAGGTGTTACCTCGTAAATGAATTTCTGCGGTGCTGTCTATAAGGTTCTTTCTTTTGAGTCTGTCCTTGGAATCCTGAAGTGTGACCATTCAAATGAAAGTACTCTTTTGTGGTACTGTTTATTATGCTGTACACCAGGTGTACATGGTGGTTCTATTTTTGAGTGTGTGAATGACATCCTTAAAAATGGAAGCTACCGAGCAGTACTTTGTTGCAGTACAGTTTATTATGCTGCACAAGATAGTTCTAACTTTGACTTTGTGGATGAAATCCTGTAGTGTGACCCTGATTCAAATGAAAGTTACTGAGCAGTACTTTCCTGTGGTACTGTTTACTGTGCTGTACAACGTGGTTCTTACTTTTGAGTCTGTTAATGAAATCCTTAAGCGTGACCATTCAAATGAAAGCTACTGAGCAGTACTTTCCTGTGGTACTTTTTATTATGCTCTACAAGGTGGTTCTAACTTTTGATTCAGTGGATGAAATCCTTAAGTGTGACCATTCAAATGAAAGACTGAGCAGTACTTTCCTGTGGTACTGTTTATTGTGCTCTACAAAGTGGTTCTAACTTTTGCGTCTGTGGACAAAATGCTAATGCGTGACAATACAAATAAAAACTACTTAACCGCCTCCCAGTTATCTCGGTTGGGAGAGTGTCAGTCTGCTGAACGAAAAGCCGCGAGTTCAGACCCCCACCGTACCAGTAACCAATGTCTCTAAATAATCTGGTAAGATTGTTATGCTGGCTGCTCCATTTGTGTGGTTGTGATTCAGGCCTTGCTTCAGTTCAGCAGTTCAAACGATCGCGTCTTTAAGCTTTGTATGGTGATGTTAAATTAGTGGCCATGCCTCCATCCTTACATGAGTGTCAATTAGAAGGGTACGTGAAAGAAACCCATTATATCGTTAAAAAAGAGTGGGGGACGTAGACGAGCTGTCACAGTCTAACTGACATGTTTTCTTAGACAGTTACTGAGAAGAATACTTTACAGTAATTTGTGGTACCCATTTTAAACAAATTGTCAAATGACAACAACAATAAATGGAAACTACTGTTCATTTATTCAGTACCTGCAGAACAAAACGCACATCAGTCTCAACTCCGTCCAAATCGGTCATGTCATGTTCCTCAGGGTTTTCCTTCCATGCCCTCTTAACATCCACCGCACACCATCGTAACTTTGGCAACCTAATCTCGAGAAAGTTAAAAGCTTTGTCCGTTATCACTAAAAACTCGTGATCGGTGTGAATTTCAACCGAGTACTTCTCTGCAGATTCCGCGTGAACTGAAAAGCCACGCTGGGATAAGAAACTGTCAACTTTCTCTCGCGATGAAACGACAGTAAAGAAGGAACTTCGGGATGCTTTTTCTTTAGGAATTTTCTTTCCGTCCTTCGTTACTTCGATTCCCTTTCGCATCCTGTGTAATCGAGTTTTTAATTTTCCCCCAGTACAGATGACGCGCGATCTGCCATATTTTCTAACGTTTCGAGGGGCGGACAAGACGCTTGGCCTTGGTTTGTAGCCTCGCGTGAGATTTGTCTGAAACATACGTACGCTCGGCGCTTCGGTGTCCTCTGTAAAGGACTTTGGAACGTTCAACACGTATAGACGCCCAAAATGAATGGCAAATTCCATTTCACCATGAATTGTAGGCACAAAATCCCTCTCAATTACCTAAAAAGAAATGAGTTAAAAAAACGAGATTATTGACGGTTTAAAGAATACGTTTTCCCCTTCAAATTCAAGACCAAGCTCTATTTTCGTTTTGTGACATTTCTAAGAAAACAAAGTACTTTTCATCTAAAAGTTTTCCATATGATTTCATTCATTGACTCTAAAGTTTGACCCACAATACATTTCGCCTTGGAGCAATTTTGATTTGAAACCAACGTAATTACTGTGCTCAATCAGGGCGCTTGTGAGACAATCAAACGAGCCAATCAAATCTCGAAGCAAATACATGACGCCTGCGCAAAGCGCAGGGGAGGGGAGTGGTGAGCAGTTTATCTCTTACTAATCCGATAATCGTAATACCTGCACTTGAGTATGAAATCTCTCTGCGAAGCTCAGGAACTCATGTCGCGTGTATGCCGCTCCGATTCTGCGCAGTCCAGACCTCGGGCTCGCCAACATGGGTACGTACAAAGCCAGACTATCATGAGTGGGGTGATGATTTCCATAGTACGGTACCAAGGTGACACCGTCGTCATCGCTTAGGCAACCTTAAAATAGACCAACACGATTGCCAACCTCGTTCCCAGGGTCTCTTTTCTCCACTTCAACCCGGAAAAAAGAGACGTGGGCCCTGGGATAGAGGGTGCACCGTGCTTCACTTATATATGAAGCTCTCCAAACAAAAAACTATCATAGTTTATTGGGCTGACTTTAGTACTACTCGACACAATTTTTTTTTTCAGAATGTGGAAACGAAAATTTGAGGAAGGAAAAAAATATGGAGAAATGAGAGCGCGAGAGGGAGTAAGCACTTATCAGAATTTTGTATACTCATACTTGACTGATGTATGATGTCACTTCCGGTTGCTAAAGCACTAATCTGCTTCTTTGATGAGGTCGAAAGATGAATGCTTGATGCTATTTGGTCTTTCATTATTTCCCCCCCCCCCCGGAAAGGAAAATTTTGTATGTTCACAATAAGGGATGTTATAGGGATATTTGGGCAGCAAATGATTATGGCCAAACAAAAATGTCAGGACACTTCTCCACCGCCCCTTAATGAAGGAGACATGTTACCTTCAAAAATCATGTGTTTAGCTTCCTTCACAAAACACACTGACATAACCGCTGCCTTGTTGCGCAGTGCCTGCGTTGCCATGGCATTTAGCGCCCGTTCCACCGACGCCACAGCGGACTCGGTACCAATAGCTTGTAAAACAAGGCCAAATCCTGATCCCGGGAGACTGGGACGAATGGTTACCCTCGCCCCAGTCTTTTTCGAGAGTTCAAAAGCGTTATGCCTTTCTGAACCGGCCATGGTGTAAGACAGTGCCTGAGATAGAAATATGACGCGATCGATTTCCGAAGCGCTTATGGTGAGGAGCACTTCAGCATCGCCATAAAGCGCCAGAAGATGAAATGCGCGTTGCATGTGTTCCTTAAGGAGCCGCAGATGCTCTGAGTCAAGAAGTTCTTCAAGTTTGCGCACGCCCAGTAAGGAAGCGAAGGTTTGTGGGATTGCCAAGTCGAGGGTTGTGTTGTAGGCTTGGAAAAATGTCAGTAGAATCTCGCCTATTTGCTGATCGCCCATAATCAGTGGACCACTTTTCTTAGCATCCGAGGTTTCTGTTGATTGAAAAGAGCTCATAACCCTGTCCCATTCTTGTTTGAGCACTGCGTCATTGATTCTGCCAGTCGCAATTTGAAAACACCGGTTCCAAACGTGTTCCCAACTGAAATCATTCACCAGTCCTTTGGAAACGCAGAATATCAGAAATAGGAACGTTAACAAGTTCGACTTGATTCCCGCGTCTACCCCGTGCCCCAAGAGACCTGTCACTTGACCCCAGTTCATAAGAAGACGGAGAACAGGTAGGAGAGCTGGGTATGATTTAATGTAGCTTGATAAGACAATGGCTTTCAGAAGGCCATCGCATGACGCTGTGACATCACCTTTAACGCTTGCCAGTGAGCCAGATCGCTTTGCGGGATTGTCACAGGTAATCACCTGGAATTAAATGTGGATATGATCATATTAAAAAATAAAAAGAATTATGCAAAGTTAAAACAAAAGATAGAGGGAGGTACTCAGACACCATCCGTAGAATGACCAGTACTATGCACATGCGCATAGGCAAGTCACCTGGAAAGTGGTATCCACCGACTGTAGCTTCCTTTTTCTACTTCGTTATTGCTATCACAATTTCACTGCAGAACTCCAACAAATCAATGAGAAAAAGAGCGTAAATCAACCAATCCTTAGAATTTTCACATCTCAGGTAAACCCCCTCCTTGGCCGCCAAATTGCAGTAAATTTTTATCTGAGGGTCAAAGAGAGGCACCGCCATCCTTTTGACTAGCGGCTAGCGCTATAAAGCGACTTGTGACGCTGGCCAAAAGGATCGCAACACTAGGTATAAGAATGAACACTCACCGGCACCCGGGCATGATCCACAAGCCGCGCATGCTTAAACAGATTACTTAAGACCGGAAGTAAGGTTTTGAGCACGGTGATCTGATCGTCTCGTCCAAGCTTTTGTCGAAGAGCGATGTGCGTGGGATAAATAACGCAAAGGTCAAGGTCAGAGTCTTGCCGGAAGAGAAATGTCGCTGAGGAACCAAACATGGCCAAAGTAACACCCGGAAGTGAACGTGATATGACACTCTTTTTCTGTATCCTGTCGTGAAAACCTTGTACCAGTGAATCTCGTTCATAGTCAAACAGTTTGATGACACTGTCGCTGATTGAAGTGACCACGCTTTGTGAGTGTTGTTCTTCACAAGCCTTACTAAGTCGAATTGAAAGCATGACGTCATCCACAAGCCACGGGAAGCTGAGAAACTGCGGAATGGGGTCGTCTGAGGAATTCTCTGATTCCTTGGCGACTCTCGAGTGACTGTATGCGACGTAATACCACGCCGATGCCTTCTGTTGCAATTCTTCGGAAATAGCTTCGCTGGACCCTCGGTCATCTTCGGCCAGATCGAACTCTTCGAAGAACTTTTTTCGGAAGTTTTCGCGTATTTTCGCTAGAATTTTGCTTACGATTTCGGCGATCTCCACTTTTTCTCTTCCAAGGCGAGAATGCAGTTTCGAAAAACAGCCTGAGAGAAGTTCATCCTCGCTTTCAATGCCATACAAGTTCATCAATGCGTGAAGCTGGGTAAAACAAAAACCGTATGACCTCTTTAATAACTAACGAAAAACATATGAAACATTTTCAATGACTTAAGGTGGCTTACTACACTTTTCGGATGAAAACTGTCGACTTTTTTAAACTGGAACATTTTTAGCAACTAAAGGCCTCTTCTGAACTGTTAATCACTACAATTGATGTAAATTATCCTTAATTTTTTCCTTCTAAAACATTTTATTGCGAAGTATAACGCGAAATATTGTGTGAGCACCCAAAAAGGGGTAGAGACCTTCAGTAGAGACCCGCCTTCAGTTGCTAAAAATGTTCCAGTTTGAAAAAGTCGATAGTTTTCATCTGAAAACTGTAGTAAGCCCTTATATAGAAGAGTTACAATGTACCGAATAACGGTGAAAACTTTTAAGCCTTCAAAAAGGTACTTCACAATTTATCCAACGTTGAGATATACAAAAAGCATTTTTTTTTTCGAAAAAAACTATTCTTAAGTGCAGAGAATATCATCGCAGTAAGAGTTAAATACACAACTTATACATTTGCGAAAAGAAGGCCTGAAAATTTTCAGGCTTCCCGGGATTCGAACCCTGACTTCGGTGAAATTGGTTGCTATATCGTTATTTCAAAACTTTAAACATCTGTAAACTGGCCATTAAAGCCTGGCTTTGGGGATCTCTCTCGTAATCCAGCGTCACTTTTTCGACGTGACGTAGAGAGGATAAACGAAATACCCAGGGAAGAGGCCATTCTCGTCGCTGGAGCCAGTCGGCTTAATTCGTAACGGACCACGTGACCAAGAAACGACGGGCTCTGCGGATGAGAATGGGGAAGAGGCACACTCTATCAACTCTCTACGCATGCGCATTTTGTTTAAACCTTTTTTGCTTTCTCGCAAAACAAAAAATAGTCCCTTAACAATTCTGAAAGGGTAGCAGTGTTGGAGACTGACTGACTACCAAAACGTGACTATTGGAAATAAATCGTAATACCTGGTTAGAATACTCCTCGTAAATGCTCTTTGCCTCCTCTTGATACTTTTGAAAGTTTGGTACCAACAAGTCTGGGACAATGTGAGGTTTATTAAGAGGGACATCGCGCGCGATGCTATCCTTAAACGCTCTGCACTCACGATACAGCTTGCCTAAAACCTTCTCTGAAGGATAGCTTGGCTTGTCGGACTTCATCATAAAGTCTGGAAAAACCGAGACCTTGGCTTCTTTAGGCATCTTGGGCCACTCCCCGGTCTTCGGCGCATCAACTGCTAGCGAGTGAAGCTCTGCCAACTTAAGGCAAAGTGACGCTTCCACCCCTCCCTCAATGGAATCCGCTTGGGCTTTGTGAGCGTTGTCAATCTCGCCAAGTTGGTCAAACCGGATGTACTCAGCGACAAACTCGGTCATTTCACGGGTTGTGATTGGTCCAAAATGTTCCCGTTTTGGAGGCGATTTGTAGTTCATTGGCGAGAAAAGTTTTCTTCGCGGCAGAAGGTCTTTCATCCAACAAACAAAGTATAAATCACCGTCAAGATCACCGCCTTAAGGAAGAAACATTTATAATTTTAGTAGGGTCCTATTTCTTCAGCATTATCATTATAATTACAATGATTAAGATGAAGTTATTCGGGCTGATTGAGACGCTTCTTGCTAACAGTGTGACCATAATGAAATCTGGATGTTTTATCTAAGCTTTTATTTGGGAAAGTCTGAAAATATTAAGCACAAGTTTTGCAATTTCTTATTTTTTCTGTTGCCTTTGCCTTTTTTCTTCAAATATATTAGGAATAACGCTGATGATACAAGTACATAAATAAATAAATAAACAATTGTTTCTAAAGTTGTCGCCATCACTATGAGTGTAGGTTATACCTGCCATCTCACTAGGGTGGGGACGGGGTCCATGATTTGGAAACACAACACAGTCCACCAAATGATCTAGCTGAGGTGCAGATACTGCAGTCAGCAGTCTCACATCTCCCGGATGAAGGCATGGATTTCTGGTCACTACCACGGGTCCTGTGAGAGTCTGTTGAGCTGTTCTGCTGAATTCTCCTTCATGATCAGGATCCGAGGACATTGCGGAATACTGCACAAATACCTTAAAAATAGACAAAAGCAATTTATTTGTAAAAAAGAGTAATCATCTTCAATAGTAAAAATCAGCTCTATAATTCCCGTTGAATTTCACATTTTCAATTAATTTTGTTATGGCGATAGGTATCGCAGTTCTTACTGTTGCGGTTAAGTTCGAAATTCTAAAGTGTGACCATTCAAATGAAAGCTTCTGAGCAGTACTTTCCTGTTGTACTGTTTATTATGCTGTACAAGATGGTTCTAACGTTTGAGTCTGTGGATTAAATACTAAAGTACTCCAATGTGTAGCCATTCTGAATAAAAGTTACTGAGCAGTACTTTCCCGTGGTACTGCGGCTCTCACTGGGTTCTGACTAGCTTTTAAGTTTGTGGATGGAATCCTAAAGTGCGACCATTGAGATGAAAGCTACTGAGTAGTACTTTCCTGGGGTATTGTCTATTATGATGTACCAGGTGGTTCTAACTTTTGATTCTGTGGATGGAATCCCAAAGTTTCAGATGAAATCTACTGAGCTGTACTTTCCTGTGGTGCCGTTTTTTAATGCTGCACAAGGTGCTTCTAACTTTTTATTCTTTGGATGAGGTCCTGTAGTGTGACAATTCAAATGAAACCTTTTTGGTTATATTTCAAAGTGGTGTAATGCAAGTAAAATTTGGGAGTCGTCTTGAACGTTTGTTTTGGACCTTCTTGGTTGTTATTGTACAAAGAGCTGTGCAGCAGACTGCTTAAAATCTTTATCTGTCCGATTATTTCTAAACAGCGCTGGTTATCCAACTGATTCCTGAAATACTAGTGTCAGGACCTTGTGCTTATTCATTTAAGGATAAAATTGATCTTTAGGATTCTTTGAGAGAATTAGTGCACTACAATAGAGTAATTAGGAGAGACTGTCAAACATTCTCTAAAAGCGCAACTGGGCACTTTGCTCAGATCATCTCGCTACAGTGAAACCACGCAGAATATGGCAGGCAGAATATCTTGAGTAAAATACTGAAAAGGGTCCTTAGAAATAGGATTGATTCATTGATCAGCCGAGGTCTAATCAGAACTGCTACAGACAGAAACTTTTTGCCATACTTCCACTATCGATTAATAAATTTTTCATTTTATCAATTTCCAACCTTACCTCGCCTGGCTGCAGAATCCCTGTTTCATCCATGACACCAATCATAAGTCGAGCTTCCGCTGGTGGTAAAAGAATGCGGGCTCGACTCAGTAGATTCTGCATCCGGTCCTTATAAAGTGCCACCAACAGCGACTTGAAAAAGGGCTCAGTGGTCAGCTGCATTCCCGCTTCTGACAAGCGCATATAGCCAATTCCTGTCTTGGCCCCAGATACCATTTGTTGAACAGCTAGACGTTCGTTAACTAGCATTCCTTTACAAAGAAAAAAATAACTGATTGTATCAACACTTTGATTTTGCTCCTCCTTACCATGCGGAAAGAAACTTAGGTGCTACGCAAAACTTGAAAAAAGATAGGGTGGCCATGCTTTTTATTGGCTTTTTCTGTCATGTTACGCGGGAAAGAGCTGAATATTTCCACGCTGTGCCCACTGGTGTCATGGAGTGCTGGGCTGGTTACCATTTGCACAAATCACGCGGATGAAAAACTTGAGCGTAAACATAAAACTATAATATTTGACGTGATGGGAGAAAGCTTCCATCACCTCAAATGACAGTTCATACTTTCTGTAGCCTTCCAAACGGAAAGGCATGAGCCTTTTGATTTTTCAACCGGATTTTCCGGGTTTTCCGAGTAATTAGTAAGTATCCCTGGTTTTTCTGCACTGTCCATATAGATACCAGAAAAGCCGATCAAAAGGACTCGCTAAATACATCATCCGTGTATCCAAAAACGCGCGAAAAAGCGCCCGCCTAGAAAGCTAAAAGGTTAGGTCTAACTTCTGAGCATTGAGGTACTCCCTTACCTGCAAGTCTGTCCAACATTGCGCGCTGCAAATTGAGAAACACTTCATCCGGGACACCAAGGTTGGACAACAGCATTATTAGCTGATGGTTTAGAAAGACAACCTGAGGGCGTGACGTCTGTAAAACCTCTAGACGGCGGTGCGGACTCTCGAATTTGCGCATGCTCGGTCGAAAAACTGCTTTCTTCCCTGGAAGTGTAGGATCAAGGGTCAACACCCCTTTACAGCCAGCAAATCGAATTTGAATCGCAGATGGCACGTAATTTTTAGAAATCTTTCTGGCAACCTATAAATAAAACAAAAACTTTGGTTTTATCAATGAAATTGATTAAGCCGATCCATCAGCGTAAAAAGATAGAAGACTGCCATGGTTTGACGAGAGTGATACGGAAGGTTAAAATAACGTGCATCTGCAGAGATGAAACCTGGTATTTTTGTTTCCTGTCTGTTTTGTCAAATGAGTTTTGTTAGGCGTTTTAACGACGAGTTAAAACTCGCCGTACAAATGCAATAAAAATTCATTAAATACGACTACTTGGAAAAAACGGTTGTGTGGGCCAAGGGAGTACTGTTGATTTATCTTAATGGCGTCTTTCCTACCTTCTGTGCAAGTGAGTCAGAGATCCTTCCCACGCCATCTGAGAAGCAGTAACCACCATCAAGTGTTTCAATATCCTCATCCATACCCCAGGAGGTTCCTTCGTTGACATCTATGCCCACAGCGTCCATGGATGTTGAGAAACACTGCCCCATACGAGCCATGAAAATTGCTACGCATCTGTTGGAGAAAACACTTGATCAGACACACGAAAGCGTGAATCACTAAAGTAACCAAAAAAGCTCTGAATAACAAATTCAAGTTATAAAACATTCAAGACTGTTTTACATTGTTTTTATTACCTTATTTTGCTGAAGTCGCCCATCCATTGTCGAATCTCCTCCGGGTGTGGACTAGGTCGAACGAACCAACAGCCGTGGTTTCTCAGCTGGCTATTGGAGGAACCAAGATAATAAAACCAGTCCCCGCCTGCTATTACCCCGCTATCCAAAGTCTGTTTAACGCGTTCCAAAATCTTCTCAATGCTTCCTCCAGCGGATGAAAGCCTCGAGAAGTCTTCATCGCGGATATTGACACACAGAAACTGATCAGTGTTGTAATTTCTCAGCACGCGATTCTTGGACATCACTTCCGGCGTGTAGAGCAGCAGGCGCGTGGGGGTAATGACCATGCGCTTAATCAACGCGCACTGGGAAGGAATGAGCTGCTTTAACATTCCACCGGCTTTAAAATCCTTCTTATCAAGGAGCCTTTTAAACGCTCCTTCTGGGTCACAAAAACTATTCCGTTGCAGGGCAGCAGCGAGTTTTTCTAAGGCAAACAAAACGACTTTTTCAGGCTTGCTACCTAACATGGTGTTAAAGTCATGGGTCAATCTCCCTCTGATAAACGGAAAAGAATGTAGGAGGCATTGTGCAGTGTATTTGACGCTGAAAGGCAGCTCTTCGGGGAAATTCACAACTGGCAATCGTCTTGCTGACTTTTGCATTGAGGCAAAAAAGACCTTCTTGTCGTATTTCGCGATTGTTCTTAGTACTTCTTTGACCTCGTCCCATTCGCTGGCTTTAAAAGTGAAGTTGTAAGTACAGCATAGGCCAAATGCATCTCCGCTATCTTCTATTTCAGTAACACGCTCCCAGTTCACCACTTCATCGATACTTGCGATATCCGAACTCGTAAGTAGAGCTGCATTATCGGGTTTCTCGTCTTCTTGCGAAGCTTCAATTCCGATGTTACCTCGTTCATCTTCGGAGCTGCTAGCTGATTCGTCGCTAAGGTGACGATCGGGGTCGTCGTCAAAATCGTAGTCCTCATCCTCAAAGTACCATTCTTCAAAGTCGTTTTCTTCTCCATCGTCAACTTGGTCTTTTTTAATGAAGCTTTTTGCCTTGAACATGCGGGGAGGGTGTCTCAGTTTTACATAGATTTGGTGGAATGAGGAAGATTTCGCTTTATCCACCAACACGAATTCGTGCAGTTCGCTGTAACGAATCTGAAGTTTGTACAAATCTACCTTCCACTGGGTTAAACGATTGGGAACCGTGAAACAAACCAGCATCGTTCGCAAGTCATGTTCAAAAGCAACGCGAATGTTTTCAAACCTGGGATTAAAAGGCCAATGGACACAGAAACTGGCTTGATTAATAAAATATCCCAGAACCATGGTATCTGGTTTAATCACCAGCACTGGTTTACGTTTGTGATTCCTAACGGCATCAGCACGGCGAAGCCAAAGTTTCTCTGTTTGGTTTCGCAGTTTTTTAGAACGAGAACACCAAGACTCGGCAATATGAGTAAAAAATTTCTCCTTGGAGCGAAAATCTTGATTTTCAAGCGGCTCTAGATTCAGTCGAAGAACGCCCGATGTAAGGCTTCTATCACACGCTTCGTCCTTCGCCACTGCCACTGCTGCCTCAATACGTTCGCTTTTTAGTGATTTTACTTCGAAGTGCGCTTCAAAGAACTCTGTGAGAAATCCAATTTCCTTGCTCTCTCTTCCAACAATTACATTGTGTATGGAAACCGTCACATTGGGAATGTACTTTTTCTTTCTCTTTCTGGGTCCTCCCGAAGCCAAGCTTTCCCCCCTTTCATGGATTGTCATTGGACTATTTCTGTACTCAATTCCCATGTCTTCATCTTCAGCAGTGGGCTCCTGCTCCAGCGGCTGATCCTGGTACGGAGCTTCCACCGGTTCAGCAGGAGGGCTGAAGTCGGGTTTCTTCAAGTGGCAACCAAAGGACTCGCCTTGCAAGGGGCTACTAGAGGAATTCCACAGTTGCTGTATCCTCATGGCTTGCTCCATGTTCTTCTCCTTCTTAATTGCATCAAACGCATCAGTTTGTTCCTTTGCATCACTACAGATTACGACAAACTTGCTATCCGGCCGGCGAGAAGCGCGTCCGCGACTCTGGACTAGCGCCCGCAAAGTGAGGGCGCTGTCAAAACGGACAACAAGGTTGCATACTGGCACATCCAGGCCTTCCTCCAGCACGCTGGTGCTGACCAGTACTTTAACCTCGCCTGAGCGGAACTTCTTTAAAACCTCTTCCTGCTCTCCTCTCCAGTCCATTCCATCACTTGCCTGTCCATGACCTACAAGGAAAGCTGGGTTAAGATGAGCTAGAATTCTAGCTTCTTGTCTGATCCGCTCACCAAGTTTGTATGCAGTCTTTCGCATCTTTACGAAGACAATTGCCCTGGACGTTTCGTCTTCTTGAACTTTGCGAATGAAGTTCTGAAGTTCCTTGACAAGATATTGATACCTGTCACTAAATGTGAACAGACTTGAAATGCGCTTAAGGTCTTTGATCGATAATTCCAGAGTCTTCAACTGATTCAAGGAACCAATGAGTTTTTTCTTCAGTTTCTCCATTGGCGAAGTGGCAGTCTGCATCTGCCTGATGCAATCTTCGATGCAATCAACCGCATACTCGTTGCCCAGAATATTGTTGATCTCTATCACACTCAGCATGTGCATGGCATGTTCCACTAGTGCTAGTCCTCTTACTCGGCTCTGGTCACCATGGCAACGTTCCATCAGCTTACGCAAAGCGCCACGATAAGATGGGGTTAAAATGGATAATCTATCAAGCGCGTGAGGACTCCCTGCTTTGTCTTCGATCATCTTCGTCAGGGATTCAACATACGATACCACTGAGGATTGAAGAAATTGTTGCTTTCCATTCAAAGGAACAACATGATATGATGTTTCTGGTCGATTCCAGTACAACTCCAGATCACCTGACCACAAAGGCATGCGCGCGCATGCACACAGATTTGAAAGCAGTTCTTCGATTTTCGTCTGTGTGGTTTCCAGCTTGTCTGCTCCGGCGGGAGATGCAGTCAGCGCTAGCACCAGCGGCTTAAACCTGTTGCTCGTGGTTTTGTAGTAATCTCTCATAATTTGATTGTAGCTGTGGTTTCCCAAACAATGGTGTGCCTCGTCGAAAACCAGCACGGATATGTCGGACATGCGCAATACAGGACACTCATCAGCCATCAGATTTATGAGAATTTGACTCGTCATCACCAGAAGATCGATCTTGTTTTCTGTAAGCGCTTGAATGGTTGCTATCCAACGTGATTTATCCCCTGGGAAACGTCCGATATCCCCGGCCAGTATCTCCACCCTTAAATCTGGTACCTGTGACTTGATATATTCACTCTGCTGGTAAACCAGGGGGATTCTGTCAACGAGGAACACCATCAATTTGTCCGGGTTAAGCTTCTTCATACAGCTCAAAACCATTGCCGCTATCAGCGTCTTTCCTGAGCCCGTGGGCAAGTAGACCAGAGTATTCCTGCGTATGGCCTGTAAGAAGAGCTCTCGTTGGTATCCTCTGGGTGCATCTTTTGTCAAGGATAAAATTTCTTCTGTACTGAGGTTGACGTCACAATAGACAAGAGGTTGTGCTGGTGTCCGTGTATGCGTGACTGCCCGTGAAATCGTTCCACTTAGCTGCGACACATTAACGACTTCAAGGCCATACTGTATAATTTTATCCTTAATCTGCTTTAACTTCTTCCCTTTAATTTGTTCGTATCCTCGCCTGAAGTGAATCTTTTCTGTCTTGAAACAAATCAGTGTTGCTTCTTCAATAATGCTGACTGTTCCGATAACATCACCGCATTGTTTGCAGAGTGTTCTGTACGGACTAAAACCAGCTCTCTTGGGATCCGGATTGGGGATTTTTCGCACCTTCTCATAGGCTGTCTCCTCGTGTTCGTTTCTTACAGCTATGTGCGTCTGTGTCGGTGGTATGCTGGCCAACATTAAAATGTCAGACGTGGCCAGAAGTGTGTTGCATTTGTTGCAATAAAGTGAGAGCTGGCCACTTCTGTAGGAAGCCATTATTGATGAGCTTCTTGAAAAATTCTCAAAAGGCTCGAAAGACTGCAGGGAAAAAGTAAGAATGATTAACCCGGCCAGGCACAAGGACTGAATCGCGCATGCCTCGGATAAGGGACCGGTCATTACTTATCTCCTGGGGGGTGGGGCGAAGGATTTTAGGGGGGATCACTTGATTTTTGGGAGAAAAAAAGTGGGGATCCGTCGTAACTGAGAACCCGAAAGGGGCGATCGATGAAAATTTTGGAAGGATTCGGAGGGGGACCACTCAAATTTGCTTGGAAACTGAAGACATGGGAGGGGGGATCGCGAAGTCATCAAAAGTTCTTAGGGGGGATCACTTCAGTGAAGTAGCATTCAAAGGGGGGATTAGCTAAAATGCACCTTGTTTAGCCCCAAATCCTCCCCTCTCCCCTTCCTTCCCCCCCCCCTACCCCGCCTAGGTGATAAATAATGACCGGTCCCTAAGTAGAATTGTCTTTATTTATGATACTTGGAAGAAGTTTAAGATTTTGATTTGAAATAAAGATTTGAAATATAGTCAGTTAATTCTTCGAAACTACTGTAACCTCATTTATAAATACAGTTGCATAAAAAGATTTAAGGGTTTTTAGGAAACTGCGTGGCCAAGTCGGTGTGGAAGTGGAACATGAGTACGAGGTTGGAAATGGACTCCCTCATGCCCACTTGTCTTTCGCCCCCGTCTTGTGCGCCTCTCGAGCCGACAGCTAAGCCCCATGAAGGAGCATGGGGTTCTCACGCGATGATAGAGTTGCGTTATATGAACATTTAGTAAAATCCAACTAGTGGTCTATTGTCAATGCTGCGTTCTGATTGGTTGAGCTACTATTAGGCTATATGTTATAGCCCACTAGTAGCGAAAAGCGCCGGCTTTGGAAACCAAAACAGTAACGGCTGAATCGTGTTTTGCTACCTCAAGTTGTTTTGTGGCGGTATTTTTGACCAGCTAGTTGGATTTTACTAAAATAATTATTCCTCTCGCCCTCATGGCCACTGAGTCAATAGCCCATTCGGCCTTCGATATGCTATTGACTCAGAGCAATAATTGTTAAATATACATAATTTTAAAGATCTTGCAGCTCCTTATTCCCCTCTTCCCTTTCTTTTTATTCATTTCCTCTTCGAAACGACAAAAAGTTTGCGCGATCTTCTGGTATAATTCCCCTAGACACATTATCTGTTATCCAGGTAATTTTTGAAGGAATAGTTGTTTTCAATGATTGAATTCATTAATATGTCTTCTCCGATCTGTCACGGCCGAGTGATATTGTATATTTACTTTCCTAACTTCCATTAGTTTTAAATCGTTATTGAGCTTAATATATGCCCCAGATTAAGTTTGAAGTGAATTGTAGTCACAGCTGTCTGTCTACGTAACCCAGGCGACAAATAAAACAGAAATTTTAAAACGTTGTCTCTGAAGTTTCATTTTCAGTTTAATGTTGAATAATGCTTTACTTTTGTTCTTTAAACTGAAATATCTATGTGGTTGCAAGGTCTTACATTATAAGGCAACATTCGGTATCGATACAGTGAGTAGTTTTGTATCGCATGTCTCAACCATTG